GTGCCCTGCTGAAGCACTGGTGGCTCTTGTGTTGAACAGGCCCTTATATCATTAAAGCTAGAACTAAGTCAAATGCAAATACTTGCCCTCTTTAATGGTTTTAAAAGCATCCTTCAGCCAAAACGGAACGTAACTAAAGAGTCTGGTGCAAGTTCCTTCTTGAGCATACTGCCAGTTTGGAATGTAAACTACTTGCGGCTGATTCATGAACAACACAGTCTGAAGAAATACTCTTTGTACAAAGAGTCAAAACACCCTTACAGCCAAACAACTGCACAGGTGTTGCAAATGTGTGTGGTAAGTTGTAGGCCTGCAGAGAATCAATGGGTAGGGGGGAATACGGATATTTCATCCCACCTCCCAAAAACTACTCTTCCAAGATTGTATCAGTTTGGCGTAGTGCTTAAGAGAGCCAGTTTGATGTATTGGTTAGGAGTGCAGATTTTAATCTGGGAGAACCAGATTCGATTCCCCAGTCCTCCACATGCAGCTGCTGGTGTGAGCTTAGGTCAGTTACAAGTTCTTTCAGAGCTGTTCTCTCAAGGGTAGTTCTCTGGAGAGCTCTCTCAGCCCCACCTACCTCACAGGCAATGATCCCTGTAAACTGTGGAGTCTTGTGAGCAAAAATTCTACTTTGTGAGCTATTGGCATTAAAGTCGTGAGCGAGCGATTTGGCTACTGCATAAATTACTTTGCTCTGGCGCCATCCTTCCTGAGCTAAGACAAAAAATGTGTGAGCCGGAGGCTTAAAAAATGTGAGCTAGCTCACACTAACTCAGCTTAGAGGGAACACTGCTCACAGGGTGTCTGTTGTGGGGAGAGAAAGCGAAAGGAGCTTGTAAACCACTCTGAGACTCCTTCAGATAGTGAAGGTCTGGGTACAAATCCAATCCCTTCTTCTTTTTCTTCTTCGGGACTTTAGTAGGCAAATACCCCCAGACACACACCTTTTCCTTTAGCCAACACAGAGATGCCCTCAACATTCCTTCTTTTTCAAGCATACTGAGGCCTCATCAGGCCTGGAATTCCCACCCCCATTGGGTCAAAGTCAATTCTCTGCATAACTAGGGTATCCACTGAATATGGAGGAGAACCCTCCCTTGTCTGTGGGTGGCCCCTCCCTTTATTGCTGATTCCATCATCCACCTGGCAACCAGCCAATTCACTAGAGATATTAGAATAACGTACCTACAGTTGTGAGTTAAGGGAAGGACCAGGGCATGTAATGCACATAATTTATTCTGCTTTGATCAAGCAGCCTGGAAGAGCAGGGCAACAAAGGTTAACCCTCTGACACTCTACAAACCTTACGCAGCCCCCTAGATTGGGCCGTGCAGCATACAACGCTATTTTAAGCAGATCTTTGCATACTGCAGGAGCCAAGATTTCTGAAAACAGTGCGTCGAGTAGACATTGCAATTTGGAACAAAATTATGAGGGAGGGAACCTGAAACATCACGGGACAGCTGACTTCATTCAGGCTCAGGAATACCCGCAGATTTTAGAAAAGTTTGGGAGGATATTTTTTATAAAGGGTTTTGAACGGTAGGATAACGTAACAGCTCAAGAGAACACCTGGATAAGGGATGGCATTGCAGTCTCTGTTCACTGGATGTATCACACACCCCTTCTTCACTGCAACTTCATCTACCTTTGTAACCACCCTTTCTTTGTGACTGTACATTACGGCTTAGGCTAGCTTTCATTTGCACGGTTTCCCCCGCTCTGTATCCCTAGTCCTACAGGATTGCTCACTGGAGGCCCTTGGAATCTGACGCAGTTGCTTTTCATATTTCGTAATCCACCTTGAGCCTAGGTGAGAGAAGCATGCTATAAATGAATACCTTATTTATTATCACCACCACTGATGGCCACTTTGATCAGGCAGGAGCTCTTTGCAAGCTCAGCTCAGTGGCTAATACGATACTCTGCATCTTCTCTGGCTTTCTTTGAAACGGCAACATCCCCAAGCTAACCAACTCCTTAAGGTTCAGTGTTTTAGAGACACACTATATTTTCAGATTCCCTCTCCAAGTATGAAGGGCATAACTTCTTTTCCCGGTTGCTCCTTCACCCACGCAGGCCACAATCGCATTGCAAGGACTGCCCGGGTTATTTTGCCCCCAAGAGTCACCCACATGCAAACCAAAGGCGGGTCTGAGGGCACCCTTGACGGACGTTGACTCTGGTGCCCCCCCCATTCAGCGTCCACACAGAAACATAATGATACATCTGCTAGTTCATTCCAAGGGCTGCAATCCTAAACATGCTTAGATAATGGTAAAGGTTTCCCTTGCTCGAAAGCCAGTCGAATCCGACTCTAGGGATGTGGTGCTCATCTCCGTTTCCAAGCCGAAGAGCCAGCGCTGTCCAAAGACATTTCTGTGGTCATGTGGCCGGCGTGACTAGATGCCGAGGTGCACTTAACGCTGTTACCTTCCCACCGAAGTGGTACTTGCAATTTCTTGCTTTCGAACTGCTAGGATGGCAGGAACTGGGGCCAGAGATGGGAGCTCCCTCCATCATGCGGCACACTCGGGTCTCGAACTGCTGAACTACCGACCTTCCGTCCTGGGAGTAAACACCACTGAACATAGTGGGATTTATTTGTGGGTGGGCATGGTAGACAGGCATAAGAGGAGCACTGGTTTGGCTCCCTCTGTGCTTGTAAGCCCTCAAACTTTTTGGTGTTACCTAGTTTTGGTGTTGCCCTAGGTGATTTGCCCAGCAGATGGACTGGCCTTGGTGTGAACTGCAACTGTTTGTTGGAAACTTACGGGTCACATTTCAGGGTGGTACATCTGCCTGCCTGGGTCCCTCTCTAGACAAAGCTGCTCCACAACCTTGAACTGTCCTCACGATATACCAATCTTCCATACAAGTTTCCAGTGCAGAAGCTCGAAAACCAGTCGAGTCCGACTCTAGGGTTGCGGTGCTCATCTCTGTTTCCAAGCCGAAGAGCCAGCGCTGTCCGAAGACGTTTCCGTGATCATGTGGCCGGCATGACTAAACACCAAGGCACACGGAACGCTGTTCCCTTCCCACCGAAGTGGTACCTATTTATCTACTTGCAATTTCTTGCTTTCGAACTCTAACAGCTGTTTTAATAAATCCATTCACCTTTAAAGTACCCCCAGGACTCCTTTTGATTTGTACAGTCACACTCCCACGATGGGTATTTTTGCTAGTGGGCAAAGATTTGAGGCTGCAGGGCGACAGAAGGAGACAGCCTGTCTCCAGAAATGGGAGTAGACAGCCAAACCAGAACCGCAGCTGCGAGGCAAGAATCGGAAGCGCTTCTTTACGGCAGAGTCCTCTCCGGGTTTCCCTCAAGGCCGGCTCATCCACAGTGCGAATCAGCCTGGTTTTTAAAACACAGTTGTCCCCCCCCCCCCCCCCCCCCCAATCTCCAACTGACTTCTGATCATCTAGAGAGCCACCAGTGTGATGCAGTGGTTAAGAGGGATGAACTCTAATCTGGAGAACCGGGTTCGATTCCCCACTCCGCCACATGAAGCCAGCTGGGTGACCTTGGGTCAGTCACAGCTCTCTCAGCCCCCCAAAATAAGTCTAGCTCGCCACCTAGTGGAACATGATGCTAAAAGAGCTAGAACTAGATCTCCTGGCTATACCACACACAATGCCATACGATCATTATTATTATTATTATTATTATTATTATTCTGAGCATCAATCCCATCTGCCAAGGCTAGAGGGACAAACATTAATCTTCATGCTCAGGGAGACAGCTAGAGAGACTACAGGAGTGTTGCCTTACAGATCAGAAAGAATGCGAAATGAACCTCCCCAGGCAGATCCAAAAGAGAACACAAGGCTGAGTAGTATTTACAACCAAATGGAAAGCTGAGATTTGCCCAGATCTTAAGAATCAGAAAAAGAAGATGCAAGGATATGCTGTGATGGCAAAATTGACAAACTATCTAAATAAGAGGCCGATAAACAAGTTTGAGGATAACTGGAGAGCTGCGGTGGCTCAAGTGGTTAAGACGCTGAACTGCAGGCTGTGAAAGGTCGGTAGTTCAGCAGTTCGAGACCTGTGTGTGCCGCATAACGGAGTGAGCTCCCGTCTCTAGTTCCAGCTCCTGCCAACCTAGCAGCTTGAAAGCAAGAAATTGCAAGTAGATAAATAGGTACCACTTCAGTGGGAAGGTAACAGCATTCCGTGCGCCTTGGTGTTTAGTCATGCCGGCCACATGACCACGGAAACGTCTTCGGACAGCGCTGGCTCTTCGGCTTTGAAACAGAGATGAGCACCGCAACCCTAGAGTCGGATTCGACTGGCTTTCGAGCAAGGGAACCTTTACCTTTAATGATTATTATATTTAATCTCCTTAGCTTACATATAATTAACGAGTCATTATATAGATGCTAAATTATCATATGGAAAATTATGTTTTCTTCCTGTCCTTTCTCCTCTATGTCTTATTACTGTAATTTGTAAAGTCGTCACTCTAATATTATATGCAAAGTCAAAAAGAATTAATCTCTGCATTTTTCTTTACAATTGTCTAGATGGGGAATAATGATAATTTGTAATGTGAAAATGAGTAAGATTAAATGTGTGAAGTAGAATGAGGTGTGTGAAGTGTTATAACCTTGATTTATTATATAATAAATTCCCTTACTAACGTATGTCTTGATATTTGTAAAAAGTGCCCTGTGTTGTTGGGTTTATTTGCTTGTTTCTCCTATTTTCTCCCCCTACCCTTTCTCTTTTCTGCACACCTATAAAAATGTAAAAATAAAAGACAAAAGAGAACGCAAGGTGGAAAGGCAGGGATTTCCAACCAGGAGTGGCAGCCATTTTGGAGTCACCCATCGAAGCCTAGGGGTGACTGCCACCAAAGGCACCAGGGCAGTTAAGAGCAGGAGCCGAAACGGACCCTTCGGCCAGATATCCGTACACACACGTTGTGACCAAATAGAAAAACTTTAATGACCGACAAACCTCATTCAGAGAGAGCGATTAAAGAGTTAAATTAAATTAAATACCAGAAACTGGGCCCAGTACATATCTAGGGGAGCGCCCAAAGGCCAGTCCAGCACAAAATAGCATCAGAACATATACCTTGGATGGGACCCCCCACACACACACTAGTCTTATGGGCACCGGCCAGGAGCCTCCAGAGAAGTGCTGGCCAATGCAAGGCCCCTACTGGCGGTTCCGGGGCACTCGTCGCTTCTTGCCAGGGCCTGCCTGGGCCCTCGGCCCTCTGGGAGAAGGCTGGGCGGCCTTTGGGGGTCTGGGCCGCTTCTGGAAGGAGCCCCGCCGTGCAGCCAGCGCCCATTTCTTCTGCTTCTTCTCTCTGGACTCTCCCTGAGGCTGCGTTTTGGTGGCCGTCGATGCCGAATTCACCTGTTTTGCAGTCTGCTTCTTAGCGCCTTTCAGCCCCTCTTGTTTCTTCCCAGTCGGCAGAGGCGTCGCAGTGGCGGCCGGAGCAGAGTTCTCCTTTGCAGCCGGCACACCTGGCTCCTTGGCGGGTTCTTCCTCTGGAAGCAGAGCGAAAGAGGACAGCAGAGGTGAGAGCAGGAGAGCTGGCAGACAGGGCCCAAGCAGGAAGCTGCACTCACGCTCACAACGGATTTCGCTTACTACCCCCGAGGTGACAGGAATCCACAGCCCCAGCTTCCCAAGATGGCATTCCAGGGCACGTCCACTAGATTCTGTGAACGTAGGCGGGTCAGGGCCAAGGGTCGCAAGAGGGAGGGCAGGAAGGGATGAGCCAGCACTCGGCTCTTGAGGCCCTTTCTTACATGCCCCAGGGTAATGCCGATCACCACTCTGGGGCCAGGAAGGAATCGGCCTTGGCCCTGACCTGGATAGCCCAGGCGAGCCCGATATCATCAGATCTTGGAACCGAAGCAGGGCCGACCCTGGCAAGTACTTGGAAGGGAGACCTCCAAGGAATACCAGGACTGTAACACAGAGACAGGCTATAACCCACCTCTCTGAAATGTCCAAGCCCCACTAGGGGTCACCAGAACTCAACCATGACTTCCAGGTATGTGCGCGCGCACACGCACACAAAATACTCACTAAAAAAAAGAAGGGATTTCCCTCCAGGCCAGATTGGCCCAGGGATCCTGCAGTTTTTCTTCATACCTCTGGGCATAAAGCAGGGGGGTCACTGGGGGAGTGGGGGGGGATTAGCTGTGGATTTCCGTGTTCTGCAGGAGGGTTTGACTAGATGACCCTTAGGGGTCCCCTCCAGCTCCATGTTTCTATGATTCCCAACTTGGATTAATTCAAGTTAAATAGGAAGATTGGGGCCCATTTCTGCTAAAAGCTCCATGACTTTGGGCGGCTGGGCCAACACAAGGATTTCCAGTTGATTAACTTGCTGCTTATATACACATTTGTGTAATATCAAATTAAAACAGGCGACCTTTTCATACAAACTAAAAGCAGCCACTCATTGCAAGAAATGTCATATTTAATACTTTTGCCCTGACCATCACCTCCAAAAAGGAGATGATGGCTTCATTTATGCCCCAGCCTTTTTGAGCCTGCAGGCACATTGGGAATTCTAACACGGTGTGGTAGGCGCAGCAAAAAAAAAAAGGTGGCCACAGGAGGTGGAGCCAGCCACAAAATGATTGCCACAGCCTACCTTCAGCTGCACAGTGTAGACCCTTCTGTTGTGGTGGCAGCTGCCGCCAAAGCAACATTTAAAAAAATCGACAAACACTTGGCGGGCACCAGAAAGCGTTCTGGCAGGCGCCACACCACCCATGAGCCCCAAGTTGGGGGACCCCTGATTCAGGCCAGATTTGCCAATAAGCAAAGTGTGGTTCACCGTAACGCGAAAAAGGACATTCCTACCGAGCTAACGCTAAACCCCAATCTGTCCTTCCCAAATTCAAGCACCAGACAGTCCTGCAAACACTGCTGACCGGCAGCTTTAGCATGCATTTGGCTGGGGAAATTAATTTCACAATTCAAGAACTGGAAAGTCGTGGGGGCGGGAAAGAAGGGATGAGCAGAAAGACAGAGTCCATGATGGGATGAACCGCTCCCCCACCACCCCGTTACCTTGTGGCGCCACAGGAATTGCATTGGAGAACTTCTTGAGCTTGGCGACAAAAAAGCCGTCCAGGTTGTGCGTGTGAGGGTAGAAACGGCGTGTGGACTTCAAAGACGGGTGGAAACGGCGCTCTTTAAACCTAGGAGAGTCGCCAGCGAAAGACAGAAAGGATGACAACCTCCCAAAGGCAAAGACATCGGAGCCACTGTCTGCCCTCCCATTTCGGTTTCTAAGCCGAAGCCAGTTTGGTGTGGTTAAATGTGCGGACTCTAATCTGGGAGAACTGGGTTTGATTCCCCTCTCCTCCACTGGCACCTGGCTGGATGGCCTTGGACAAGCTGTAGTTCTGATAAGAGCTGTTCTTGAAAAAAGAGCAGTTTCTGTCAAGAGCTCTCTCAGCCCCACCTACCTCACAGGGTGTCTATTGTGGGGAGGGGAAGGGAAAGGAGTTTGTAAGCCCCTCTGAGACTCCTTTGGGTAGTGAAGGGCGGGGTATAAATCCAATCTCTTCTCTTCTCTTCTTCTTCTTCTAAGCAGCAAGATCCACTGCACGGTCACCCCACTCGAAACCCATGGAAATCAATAGGCTTTGACGGGGGTAACTCAGCAGCGGATTGCCCTGTCCGGATTGTAGACGCCCACCTGACAAAGCCTTCTTTGCCGAAGTCCAGTCCCGTCGGCACCAGGCGGACGTTGCGCTTCTTCAGGGCGTAATCCACCACCCATTCGTTCTCCTCCACCTGCCAGGAAGGAGAAAAAGCGGTCAGATTGTCCCGCGTCTGGCAGAGACCGGGAGCCCCTCCCTTGCTTGGGCCGGGGAGGAGGAGAGCCTCACCGTGACCGAACAGGTGCAGTAAACGATGTAGCCCCCGGTCTCCGAGGCAGCGTTGACCGAGTCGATGGCGCTGAGAATGAGCTCCTTCTGCAGGTGAGCACAGCGCAGAATGTCCTTCTCGTCCTGGAAAAGGAAGCAGGGGGCTTCAGTCTCAAAAAAGCTTCCAGTGGAGTAAAGTATCTGTGCATCTTTTGGGGTGGTACAAGACTCCTGCTTATTTCTTGGTATTTATTCAAGCTTTTTTGAGTATTTCACAAACATTGTCCTGCGATCCTGGGTAAATCGTGGTCTCTTAAAAACTGATAGCCCTCCCTTTCCATCAAATGATCCTCAAAGCTGCCTACAAACAGCAAATTTAATACAAAAAACCTACTCAGCACAGGCCCGTAGCTACGGTGGGGCTTTTGGGGGGCTCCGCCCCCTTTCTTAAAGGAACAGCCCCACAAGACTTTCTCCTGTAAATACTTTTTTCAGTCATTTTAAAACATTTTTAAAAGGTGTGCGCTCCTTTAAGCAGAGTGGGGTGCCGTAGTTGACTAATTCCCGCACTAAGCAAGGGGGTTAGAGTAGGTGACCTCTAGAATCCCTTCTAACTCTGTGTCAAGAAACTGGTCTCCTTTAAGAGAATTTTTCTGCCTGTTAGCTTTCTTGACCATATTACAGACTAATGTTACAGCATTGTTGCTTAGGCTGGCAGAAGTGATTAACTTGCAGCAGCTGAGAAACTGTCATCTAAAGTGGCTGACAGCTTGCAATCTAGAGATCTATCCTGGTAAACAGCTTTTTACTGGCTAAATGGCTTTTTTTCCTGCACTGAGAACTTCTAGACAATGAATTTTTTAGTTTCATCAGGGCGCGCCAGCACTGGCTCAGAGGTGAACATCAGTACTCAGCAGCTCTGGCCGATGTCATGGTTAGTGCATCAGACTAGAATCTGGGAGACTTGGGTTTGAAATCCCCATTCCAGCTTGGTGTGTGATCGTGGGACTAGTCACTCTCTCTAAGCCTAGCCTACCTCGCAGGGGCTTCTGCTGAGGATAAAGCAGGGAAAGGGACAAGGTATGCTTGCCCTGAGCTCCTTGGAGGAAGGAAGGGATGAAAATGACCACGTAACCTTGTCTCTCTGGCCACAGTGTCTTTCCTCTCAGGCCCACAATCCCTTGGGCAGCTGGAAGCTAAGCAGACAGTTCTGTTACCCTCATGCAGCAGAGGGAAGACTGGGGCAGGTTGCTCAAGGTCTTATCGAGCAGGTTCTCGTCTCCAGCAATGACCACACGGCTTCCTTCCTCTTAACGCACACGGCAATAGCTATTGCACAGACACCAGGAAACACTCCACGAGCGATTAAGCTGCGGAACTCACTGCCAGTGGATACAGTGATGTCGAAGAGCAGGGGTGGCTTTCAATGGGGATGAACCAGATTTATGGAGGAGAGGCCCGCCAATGGCTACTAGCCATGTTGATTAAGCAGAACCTTTATGTTCAGAGGCACTAAGCCTCTGAATCCCAGAGCCAGGAGGCAACATCAGGGGAAGACTTCAGCCTCTATGGCTGGTTGGCTTGTTGGCCATCCAGAGCAAATGAGCGGGTGCTGTGTGAAATGGGTGGCTGCACTCAACGGACCCCCTCATCCTGCCCAGCAGGGCTCTTCTCATGTTCCTACGACACCATGACAGTACATGGTAGAGACAGTATTTGAAGCTAATGCCTCTTCCATCTGCAATGAAAGCTCAGTGGCAGAAGAGGTGCTTGGACTGCAGGTCCCCAATCCACAGCCCCATCCCCCAGTGAAGGGTCTCTGGTCATAATAATAATTATTATCATCACCGTATAGCATTGTGTGTAGAACAATGAAAAAAGAAAAAAGAACTGTGACAATTTAGCGCTTGGTACTATGTTCATAAATCATAATACACAATAACAGAAAATAAGTAATATATATAGTGAATGTAGACGGTGGTCTCCGGAATGGTG